CCCCAAAACCCCAAAACCCCAAAACCCCAAAACCCCAGTATAGATATTTTGACTAAAATAAACGATCCAATTAAACTATAAATAAAATTAACAATTAATCTTTAATATACTATATCCGTTGGAGTGAAAGAAATCGACAATGCTCTTCGAATAATAGAACTTAATTTCAGCTTAGCCATTAAACTCTTTTGCCTTCAACCCACTCTCCTTTCCTTTCTTCTCCTTTATGGTTTCTGTAAACTCCAGTACCATGCTGTTTACCTCTTAACCAATCTCCTTCATACTCTCTGCCATCTTTCCATTTAAATAAACCGTTACCATGTCGCTTGTCTTCTTCGAAATCTCCGAGGTACATTTTACCGTCAGGCCACCATAATTAACCCTTGCCATGCATTTTATTATTTAGCCATTGACCCTTATACCTTTTGCCATCGCTCCAGACATAAAATCCAGACCCACTAATTTCATTCATTTAGAAATTGCCTTCGTAGGCAGATCCATCAGCAAATGTCAGCTTTCCAAGACCATTTTTTTTGCCTTCAAAATAATGTCCCTCATAGATAGCTCCATCGGGCCAACTTTCTACTCCAAACCCATGCTACTTGTCATCCTTCCACTCGCCGTTATATTTTGCGCCATTAGCATGAGTATATATCCCTTTACCGTATGCTTTGTCGTCTTACCAATTACCCTCGTAAATATCACCATCAGCATGATAGAGTGTTCCATATCCATTTGCTTTATCATTCACCCAACTGCCCACGTATTTTGAACCGTCTGGCCACTCCTGTGTACCTTCTCCATCCCTAAGACCGTTTCGCCACTCTCCAGTGTATATAGCTCCGCTAGCTAGTGTTATAGGCTCTTATCTAATTCTTTGATCATTATTCATCATTTACATTTACTAAACTTCTTTAAGTGGTGAACTTTAATTAGAGAAACCTCCTCTGTCAAAACCATTATTGTTCATTTTGCCCCATGAATTAGCTTAACTTGGATCCATATTATCTGGCGAGAAATTCTCAAGATTCTTATTATGGTTGAGTGCTTTTTGGATTTTATCTTTATCTATTCTTTTGACAGCATTATGGGCTTCTCCATCTTTCCCCTCACAACTCGAGAAAAGCCCTGTGCAATTTCCCATTAATTTTATTGATTTTAAATAATAATTCAAAATTTCCAGGTAAATCTGATGATTGGGGTTTTGGGGTTTTGGGGTTTTGGGGTTTTGGGG